TATATATATATATATATATATATATATATATATGATTCCACTGCTTCATCAAAATGGCTATAAAAAGAAGAAAGAAAATATGTTAATGCACCTTCTGATATATACAGATGAACCCCAAAAGATCCATGTAATCAATTTTAAATAATTGAGACTATATGACTTCTTGAGGTTGCATGGACACCGAGAAAATTGGGTTATACCAAAGCTTGGAAATAAAGGAAGAACTGCAGCTGTTCATGGAAAAATTGAGGAAGGAGTCGAGAACCAGGTGCATTTCCAACAAGACCACAGTGCAACAACTTCAAGAACTTCAAATTAAAAGTCTGGAGAGAGGATCAATATACAATCTTATCCCGTAAAGAAAGAAAGAGGTTGATTCCAAGTCGCAGAGCATGACACCAAATGAATAATACACTTTGACATCTTGGCAAATCACTTTCTAGAGTTTGTCTGACATACAATTCAGGAATGATTCTTGCGCTGCTCATTTTAGCATGTGGACTAGCAACACCACCAAGAGAATGCTGGATGGGACTGCATTCTGTGGAAACCCTATTTGGCCACTTCTGTGATGGTTGGCTGCTTAATTGGAATTCTGAATGAAGCATGCTTGCTAGTTGCTATATATCAGAATTCTACATAAAATGTTTCTAACATAACCTGATTGACAATTATTACTGGTTCCTCACCTGCATTAACAAAAAAGCATGAATAGAAATCACAAGCAATCAGAAAAAACCACACCGGCAAAATCTCACCATACCAGCCTCATTTATGGTTAACCCGAACTATTCAATAAAATTACTTTTGATGGCTCTTAGTATCCTGATTTTAACCCAGAAGACTTCTGAAAAAGAAACTATACAAGGAAGCAGACACCCAAAGTTCACTTCCAGGAAGAGAACATGCTGATTTCAGATACTCGGTCAGCGTTCTCTGTCTATTCATCGGAGACCACCTCTTGGTAGCCGCATTCATGGCTACACAATCCTTTCTCTCCTCTGCAAGAAGAACATGGATCAACCAAGTCACATTTTATCAGAACTATCATTTTAAGAGAAAAATGACACCATCCAAAGGCAGAAGACAAGCAGGAGCCATAATTTAAAACCGGAAGCAAAATTTTCTTCGATAAGCCTGAAACTGGAATGCAGCCATATCAGGAATTTATATTGTGAAGACAGAAAAAAAAAAAAAAAAAATTTGACAATCAAGAATTAAATTTAGATCAATGTCAAATGAAAGAAAGCATTTTGTGGTGGTATGAACTATGTACATCTACAAGGAAGATACACAAATACAATGGTTAAACAAGACAAATCAATTAGGACTAGTGGTGTGAGGACAGATAAAGAAAGACCTAAAATAACTTTTATCATTTTCAAATAGAGATTTGACGGCTTATAGGTTAAGTTCGTGATATTGCCCTCAATCAGACTCAATAATGGAAAGATATTGATAGAGTTGATGCTAAAAAGTTGAGACCTTATGTCTCAAGGTTGTTGTCTAAATTACAACATTCATGGTGATAGAACTAGACCTATCTATACATTACAATTGGGACATGCAGTGGCTATCCTAATGGATGTTTTGATTTACAAACTTATCGCATTCTCAAATATTACAAGAAAAAAGTTGAAAAGTTCTGATCATGGATTGTAGGCAACAGCAACCCTAGTGATTTCATTAAACAGGATACATGGCCATAACATGGTAGATAAATCTATTGGGAGACCTACATTGGTTCCTCGATCCACATTTTTTCTCAATGTGGTTCTCAATGACCATTGCAAGGTTGCAGCTTCAGAAATGAAGAGACTTGCATACTCGGGGAACAGCAGAATGAACCAAAGAACAACTAGCTCTATATTAATTCAGTGATATTTGACTTACTATTAATAATATATCAGATCAAAGTAAAACTGTTCATAGGTTCAAAATTATCTCAGTATCAAAAAGTTATACTGGTGATTTTATTAGCTAATAACAAAACTCAACTCAGCTTAGGAAAGAAAGAACTGTAATAATTTCAAAACAAACTTAAGCATCTGGTTTTGACACTAGGCAATCCAAAGTATCCATACTTCAAGATATAGAGACTAGCTAACCAACCTGTAAAGAGAAATTCCCTTCCCCTTCCCAATATCCTCCTTGCAAGAAACACAGCAGCTCAATGAAGTATCTGCAGCATATCCTGACGGATCATCCATACATGTACTCTTCTTCAAGGTAAGGAACTCTCTGTCGCAGCTCTCAATGATGCAATCATGAAAGATATGTGTTTTCTTCGGGATAGGCCCATGCGATATCACACAAGTGTAATCTTCTGAGAGCTCAATCTCGGTTGGGGACATGTGACCCATGAACAACTGAGGAGAAAAGACAGAACCAGAAACCGTTCTGCCAGGTAAATATGAATCCATCTGAGAAGTCTTAGTCTTGCTACCGAACTCCATGATAGACCGAGGAGACTCAATGGACACAGGGGACATGGAGTTGGATAGACCAGGAAGTGTTTGAATCTTAAGCTGACACCCAAAGACAACCATCGTACACCCTACATCACCAGTCTCCTCATTGCTCAGAGCATCAACAAGGCCAAGTCCAATGGCTCGTGAGCTTCGATTGTGCCAAGGATGGTGTCTGCTCTCAGTGCCAGTGGTGGCAGCTGCAGTCTCTACTGACAGGGGCTTTGTCTTGCAGTCTCTACTATCAGATGAGGACCGGTTCCCAGTGGCAAAGAATGGTATGGTCGCTAGCATGGACTTGGGACCTATTGCGTCCTCAGAGTACATGGAACTCTTCCTCACAGAGCAGCCCTCCACAAGGAGATTTGGAGAAGTGAAGGCGGGGTTGGGAGGTGGGGAAGAGGTGGTATCGGGCATCAACTCTTTTTTCCTGCTGACTGCCTTGGACCTCTCCCTCAGAATAATATCTTGAATCTTCGATCTCAGGAACATGGAAATAAGCTGCTGCAAATAGGGAGGCAGACCAAAATGGAAGACTTGCAACAGAGAACAAAAGGAGGAGGATAAAGCAGCTGGTTCTTTTCCTCTCTCTCTCTCTCTCTCTCTCTCTC